GGTTTTTTTTTATAAAATGGAGTACTACTCAGCCATAAAGAATGAGAAACTAGAGACATTTATAGCTAAATGGATGCATATTGAGGCCACACTCAGAAGTGAAATAAATAGGACACACATGTGTACATACCAAATAGTTTCTCTAGTGTAAGAAACTGAAAGTGCAAATAAGAATTAATATGGTTAAAATGAATAATTGATAATTTGAAATAGGAAGAAAAGGTGCAAACAGGTAGGGGTGGTGGGAGGGGAAGGAGAAAGGAAAGGAGGGAAAGGAAAAATTTTGAGAAAAGAAAAAAGATAGAAACAAAGTCTATGTAATTAGGGAAGGGTGGTGGGGGTGAAGGACGCATAGGTAATGGGGAAAAATAAGAATCAAGATACATCATGTACAAGTACAAGCACGCAATAAATGTAAATGTGTTACCTAAAATGTACCAATAAAAGAATTTAAGGGAAAAATAACTTATCAAAGACCTTGATTTACACCTCACCAAAAAGATATACAGATGGCAATTAAGCATGTGAAAAGGTGTCCCACATGAAGTCAATAGGGAAATAGAAATTAAAATAGCGAGATATCCATATTAGATAGCCCAATCCAGGACACTGACACCACCAAATGCTAGTTAGGACTTATAGGAACTCTGATTCACTGTTGGTGGCGATGCAAAATGGGGTAATCACTTTGGGAGTTTGGAGGATTCTTACAAAAACTAGATATATTTTAACGATATGATCTGCAATTATCATTCTCCAAATTTACACAAGGTAGTTGATAACTTATGTCCACACAAAACCTGGCCAAGAATGTTCACAGCAGCTTTATTCATAACTGCCCAAAGTTGGAAGCAGTAAAGATGCTTTTCAGAAGGTGACTAAATTGGAACATTCAATGAAATATTCAGCTAAAAATGAGTTATCAAGTCAAGAAATACGGATAGTACATGAAAAACTTGAATACATATTACTATGTGGCAGGCAGTATGATATATGATTCTAACTACAAGATATTCCGGAAAATACAAAACTACAGAGATAGTAAAATGACAAACGGTTGCTAAAGCTTGAGGATTTGGGATGAACAGGTGGAACACAGAGGATTTGTTGGGCAGTAAAACTACTCTGTATGATATATACAGAATATTATATATCACTGTGCCTGACATCCATTGTTCCATTGATATTATTTGGTATGTATATTCAGATAAAAGAAGTGCCCATATATGTGAGCTGGTGTTAGTATTATTTGATTAGTATAGAGTAGTATAACATTTAATGGTCCTTAAGAAGAAGAAATATAGATTTCAGTTCCAAAATTTTACAAGAACATTTATTTGTCATCTTAATTTTAATAAGCAGCATTTTTTCTTACATATTATAGAAATATATATTCAAGTACATCTAAGAAATAGCAGAAGCCTGCAATAAAATTAGTAAGCAGTAAGAAATAATTAAAATACAGTGATAATAGAATACAAAGGCATACACACAGTGCCAAATTGCATAATTCAGACAAAAATATTCTAGTTTTATTGCCCCCCCCCAAAAGAATAAATAAAGCTCAGCAGACAGGAGCATTTATGATCAAGGAAATTTTAGAAAATAAGTAGCACCTTTAGTCATTAAAATGATTGTCAACATTTCCAGGAAGCTTAAATAGAGCATTTCTGATTTTGTAAAGGAAGTAAAACTAATTGATATGTACCATAAAGATTAGCTGTTGCATATTTCAGGATTTGCATAGAATGTTTGACTGAGAAAATAAAAATGAATTCTTAAATCAAGGTTTCAATTTTAAGTAAAGAAAATATCACACCAGTTTCTATATCTTACTTTTGATATTAGAGAATTTATCTAATATACGTTGATAGACACTGTAGCATTCTAATCATCCAGATCCACCGATTCATTTCAATAACAAATTATTTTATGCTAAAATGTTATTCTAATTAAGGTAACAAGCTTGTCTACAAGGAGCTCACAGTCTAGTACAAAAGAGATGAATTTGGAAATATATGCAAAACTGCAACAAAATGTGTATCCCCACAGAGGAAGTCAACATTTAGTTTCAAATTTCTTGTGCAGTGAAACTTAGAAACTACAGCATATGTTTTTCTAAAACATTAGGCCCATATAACACTGTGGTATGGCTGAAAGGTGAGTGAAAAATGATAGTACCCAAATAAGTTTGCTTAGCGAGGAAGCAGAAACACTTGAGCTGATCAACACAATATATTTCTGATTTAAATAAATCTACATATAATTTCATTAAAACAAAATATGTATTTATATGAAAATGCAAGTTTTACCGTTTTTGGTTATTTTTTACAGGTATTATTTGCTAACCAGAAGTGCTAAAAAAAAAAATCCAGAAATAAATATAGTAAGATCAATCCACAATCACTAAGTACATTCATCTGTAAGAAGGCAAAAAGAGCCTTTTAAAATTTTAAACTTTGACAGGTGTTTAAATGAATCATTTTATATATTTATTAACCTTTAAAAGAATGAAATAGTATAGCCATGACTTAGGTCAAATCATCTTAGGTGTCCAGCAAGCAAAACCACTCTTGTCTTTATTTCACTATCATAGTAACTAACTATAGCTGATAGACCATGTGGTGATTTGTTCAATGGTCGTTAAGATTCCTACAGAACAAAGCTATTGTATTTTATTTTTTCCACTTAAAAAAATCATAAAAATAGAGCATAAACATGAGAAAAACTCTACAGATCAACTCCTAAATCAGATCACTTAAGGAATTCCCATAAAACTTAGCTCAGTGCGTTTGTTGCAAAGGAATGTCTTATATATGTCTTATTAGTAGTAAAAAGGTATTATGCACAACTTTTATCCTCCAAATCTTATTTGTATGATTTGCTCCAATTTAATATTGAATGAGAAAGAAACATTTGTTGAGTACATAATATTAAATGAAATTTTTCTCCAAGTCCCTCAAAAATGGGACATTATTCCAGGAAATAATTAACACTTCACTTTAAAATATTTAAGAGGTAACGCTTTTATGTAAAAAACTTCCAATCAAATATCAATTTCAGTAAATATGTCAAGAGACCCTGCTTTTTCATTTTCAACATAGGAATTACAATACCTGACATACCTAACTGAAGTATATTATTTTTGTCCTGGTTACAAAGAAAGGACCTTACAGTATTTAATAGATGCACTCATCGTGGATGCTGGGGCTGCCCTCCGTCATGACAACAAAGCAAACGTGGTATTTGTATCCCAATTTGGCTGAATCGAACCAAACACATCAGTAACTATAGATGTGTTTAGGACCTCCCTATTCACAGAAGATTTCAGTGAACACCCAATATATGAAGCAGAGTGTATATTCTTGTTTTTATACTTTCCCCTGGGGAATTTCGAATAGCCATCACTCTTCCTCCAGAGATCATCTGTCTGAATGACTTGTTCTTGTTGCTATTTTTCCAGAGGTACATGAAACAAAAACTCTAGAAAGAAACTCTATCTAGGCATGATGGAGGTAGATGATATCACTAACATAAAAGAATATCTATACTGTTCCCAAAATGGCTATGGAGTTTAGTACAATTTATTTAGGTGAAATAACCATTTAAAAAATATTTTCAGATGTGCTGTATTTGAATACTTTTTTAAACTCATTTTTACATTCTTAAAAAGCAATACTGCAGGGCTTATCTCCTCAGATTATACAATGGCAACAATTTCTTGCACATAATTAATAAACTTGTACTGTGTATTCCATGCTCTGGAATTTTATTTTAAAAAATAAATGAATGCTGTTTATATGTTATAAAAAAGCAATTAATGAAATACTGATAGATCATTTTTATTAACACAATATTGATATCTTTTTAATGTCTTTCCTATTAATAATTGACATACTTTGTGCAAAATTATTCATCCTACTCACTAGTTATTATCCGATGTATCTAGAATTATCTCCTGTTGCAGTCAGCAAATATTCTTCAATGTAAGTTTGCAAACATGATTTTACAAAATATAATTGGAGAAAAATATTTATGTAGGATATACAGGATTTATCAAGTGTGTTTTAAATGACTGAATAAAGGTTATCATTATCAACAAAATGGCTTAAATAGCGCAGGAGAAAGAAAAATGTGTTATAAATCAAAAGACCTGTATTCTGTTTCCAATCCTTCATTTACTTGGGGGATTAATATATATTTAGACAAAGCCCTTAATCTGGTTTAGTCTAGTATTGCATAGTAAAAATGTGATATCTAACAAAATTAGCAAAGAAAGTTGAGAGGATGTAGTTAATTAAATATATAATTTGATACATAAATACATAAAAAACAAAGTATAACCCAAATAAAAATAATATTTATAATTGCTCAGAAAAGAAACATTTTAGCTCGCATATCCCATCTCACTTAATCCAAAAATACTCATACTTTAATTAGAAAGAGAAAATAAGTGGTAGAAAAATAAAGTCTATTGAATAATATGTTAAAAATATGTGCTCTACTTTAATGACCAAGGTCTCTATATGGGCCTAACCTAGTCATCTTATTTTAGATGTATATGAAAGTAATGAAAACCACCCCCCAAAAAAAGTAAGTCTTGGCCAAAAAACTGTTTTAAAATTTACCCTGAAGTTTATGAGATAAAAATCTCATTCTTTTTCTCTTCTTAACAGAAATTTTTACCAGTTTATTATGCCTGGATAGAGTGCTCAGCATTCAGTATCAGTGCATTCACACAGAGGACTCCATCTTAATTTGTCACATTTGGCTTAAAAACACAACAAAAATCCACCAAAAGCCTGTATAATCAGGGGAAGAAAAATATTTGCTGCAACGTTAATAAATTCATGATCAGTGAATATTGCCCATAGAATTATCTTGACTGTTGGAGACCTTATTAAAGAAGTAAATATAAAGATAGAAATACATAAAAACAGAAATGCATACAAATAATATAATTATACCTAAACTTGCCAACGAAGAATTTGATAGTAAAAATGCTCATATTTAGATGGAAAGAGGTTAGTTTATCTATCCACAGTAAAAAAGGAAAATAATTTTTAAAAATAATTATATAAAAATGGAGAGAGAAGCTAAGCTGCAGTAGATTGAGATGAGGGAAATAATTTTGTCTAAAAATTTTCGTGTATTACACCAGTCAATTTTAATTTTTGTCTCAAGTTAGAGACATTAAAACTTATACATATCATTAACTACAGTAATTCTGCCAGGATCTGTGCATAAATGAATTAAACTAAAGGAAAAGCAGTAAAGAGAAGACTAAAGCCAGATAACAGGGCTTTGTGAAGAGCTAAAACTATAGTGTATGAACAATTAAGAGCAAGTAAGAAAAGCAGAATTATAAAAGATATGAGCTCAGAAAACTATTCATTTTAATTAAATCTAAAAAGCTAATTCATGATTTTCATTAAAAAGCATTATAATTATTTACTGATTGTTGGGATTCTCAACTCAAGTGTATTCTCAAACATGATCATGCATATGGATGTAATAAAGTCTCAATCTTAAAAAAGTGTGGAGAAAAGGGCAAGATTTTAATTTTGCTTTTAATCTCATTGTGTTGATATTTGGCATTGTAAACAATTATGGTAAGAAACTTAGTAGGTATGATTTATCAATGATGTCACTGCACTGAGAAAGCCTGTGTGACACATGACTGAGAAATATTGTGATGGTAAACTTTGTTTCTCAAAGTTATCAGGCACTTTAAGAGAATTAGTAAGTGTCAACAACAGAAAGATTGTTTTTTTTAGATTTTTAAAAATCACATTTAATTATATATTTATCTTGCATAAGGAAAACTCGTATTAACAAAATATTTCCTAGACGGATAAATGCCTCCCCTGTCCAGGAAATCTTAAATTTATAATTTCCCCATTTGTAGAGATAAGTGGTTATGGCCAATAGAATATCCACCTGGCTATGGGACCGCCATTCTTGCGAATCACAAATAAATCAGACTAATGTATCGTGGATGACTTAATGAAGAAACCAGTGCACCTGAACAGAGGTGAGGAGAAATACATTTTAAGGACTTCAAAGGTCCAGATGGAGAAGACAAAAGCAGTTGCAGTATTTTTCTCTGTAGAATAAGTAGAGAAAAAGTGGCAATACAGCTGTTCAGAGAAACTTGAAAAATGGGAATCTAGGACATTTATTAAAAATAAATATGCATTGTACAGATGAACCAGAAAATCTGAATCTCATACCTTTTTGTTACTTTGTATCTTGGAGTAATTCTACTAATGGAGAAAAATCACTAAAATTCTAAATACAGCGTTTTATAGTATATAGTTTTTATGTTTTGTGAAGTGGTAACCAGCACAGAAATTATCTATAACAAATAACATTTTTCTTCTAAATTCAACTTCAGGGAAAATTATGTCTGAGTCATATGCCTCTTTGTTGAGAAAAAATTTACATAAAACAATTATTACTGTGATATCATATTGACTGTGGAATCTTTTACATTGACAAGAAAAGCAGGCAATTTGAAAATTATATTCAGACTATATTAAATGTAATCTCTAATACAACTAAATCAAATCTTATTTGCTCTTGTTCATACACTATAATTTTAGCTCTAATTTTAAGTCTAATTTTTTTCATAGATGATTTAGAATTTTTATACATATATTTTATCTCCCTTTGCCACTATAGCATCTATTGAGATGCAGTATGAACACTTCAGGAGTTCTTTCTGCTTATCAATTTTGGTTCAGTCACATATTAATTTTTAACTTTGGGAAATCTTTGGAGATTCTGCATCTTTTTTTGGTTTTCACTCATTTACTACATCAAGTTAACAACTTCTAGCATAGCTTTCATCTGACTATTAAAAGGCATTGTGTGGGTAAAATTCACCACACATTAGTTCCCATCTTATACTGTATTCTTCCTCCCTATTTAATGTAATAGTTACGATTTCTAACTTACATTATTAGTATGGGATAGTCTGCCTCTGATAGGATGTTTTAAAAGGTATTTCTGATAAAAACTAAGTTTCAACTAATTGATCAAGATTATCTCTGTATTTATAATATCTATATAAAATATTGTATTATATATTTTTGGTCTTTTTTCTATATTCCTTATTGTCATGTTGAACAGCCAGAGAAGGGCTAATATAAAATAACTAGATATTTAAAGTGCAAATTTGAACATATCAAATCTAGTTGTTTTACTTATTCTCTAGTGTTCAGGTAAAGGCGATGAGCACATGAGTTAAATTGGCTAATACTTGGTACAAAACAAGTAAAATTTATGAGTTATGTGAATTTATGTTAAGTAAACATCATATCTTCCAATGTGAAACACACTGGCACGTGATCCACTGGCTCTTTTATGTTGTGCTAGTTGAAACCAAAAAAGATCAAAAGAGGGCGCAAACATGTCAAGACAAATCCATCCTCAAGTTCTATTAATAAATTATGAAGGAATATCTAAGTTAAATAGTGAAAACTATAGGAAGTTCAGTTAACACAAATAGCAACACATTTAAACTAGACAGTGATCATGAATTATTTCAGTACTCTGGTTTACATAACATTCCTATACAAATTCATGATGGTAAATACGGCTTGTAGGGTTTTTAGTGGTGACTGACTTTGTTTTTGATCTCGAACATGTAAAACTCTGTTATTCTTTGGGGAAAGAAATACCCTCAGAACTAACTGTTGCAGACACAGAAACCAGCCCTTATTTCCTCCTCCACTATGTGACTATATCATTGTGCAAATTCGAGGCCAAGATTCTTTTCTCAATCTTTGAAAAGATTCTGTTAAAGCAATAATTCTTCCAAAAAGTTCAAGGGAGTAGAGAGATCAAACAAGCAGAATAATTTACATTATCTGGAACAACTGTGAATCTAGTAGGTTGTTATGTCACTGTATCAAGTGTGTTCTTGTTTAGTTTTCAGCATATATGTATGGGAAAGAATATGCAAGCATATTTGTAAGTTCGTGCTGTGCCACTGTCAGGCATGACTATATCACATTATTCATGTGTTTCGAATCTGCAATTTTACTTCCCTTTCTTTTCTAACAAATTAATGTAGTCAGTATTAAAAATGAAGAGTTAATGAAGGCAACCAAAGAGTAATAAAGCAAATGTAAATTGGTTTTGACTTGACTCTCAATAAGTATAGAAACCTCCTACCATGGAGAAGGCATTAGAATGCACCCAAGCACATGTCTCTACTAGCAGGTAATGAAAAAGAATGTTTTACATCTAAAACCTTACTTTGCTACTTATTTCCATAATGGTCTAATATCTATATTAGTTTAAATTACGTATTTTTAGAGAATGCAAGACACTTTTTGGAAATGTTTGGGATTGGAGATGTACTACACAATGATGTTGTACTTCTTATGACAAATCAGCATTGAATACAAAAGCATTAATTTAAAACCAACTAACTCAAGAATCAAGACTGAGTATAACTAAATTAAAAAGAGCCATATACTGTCACATTTTTCCTGATTTATTTACCTATGATATTGGCACATCTTGTTTTATTTAATATTTGAAAAATACAAATATCCCTTCATAGGCAGAAAAGCAAACGTTAAATGAAAAAAAACCCGAAATTTTATATCGGTCCCTAAATATGAGCCACATGCTTAAATAATGCATAAATTTCATGAATCAAGTTCTTAATGTCAATTATTACAAAAGCTTGGTGTCCAGGTACAGTCTCATAAGAAATAAGAATAGCACCTGTTCTATGGCAATAAAAAAATTAACGGTAAATTCCCTTGGACATCTCAAGAATGACATCATTTCAATAATAAAGCACTAAGTATTTTTTGTCAGTCATATTAAACTTCAGGTTTATAAGTGTAAGTATTTATGAGTTTAGCTATGGTATTTATAGTTCTAAAAACACAAAACTATCAAATGTGTCTGTATTAAAGATGAATTCAGAGGCCTAGGTGTTTTCATAGTTAAAAGAAGAAATTCCTAAATTAACCTGGGTTGCAATATTTCAAGCTTCTTGCTGTTTTAAGCTATACCTATAATTCCATGTGACACAACCTATGTTTTTAGGAGCCTACTGTAGTTTCCTGGTATATCCATAGGCAGCATGAAGTCTAGTCAGTAGAGGGCAGACTTTTGCAGTGCTACTATTCCTATAACATCATCAGGGGCTGAGTAAAAGGCCTGTTTATGGTTTGTTTTTTGCTTTTGCTTTTTATGAAAAGGGAGGAGCTGAGAAAACTAAAAGGATTCCCTCTCTCAGTCAGCTGGACTGACATGGATTATTCAGAACAGTGACCTCAAATAACAGCTATGTGTTGGAGAAAATTGAATTTTCTCTCTCTCTAGACTGTCCACTAGGATTCTGGTTTATTCTTCGATATTCAGTTCAGTGGATACTGACTGACATCTAGTTAGAATAAATCTCTGGTTATTACTTTCTGAATTAAGAACTAAAATCCTTTAAAAAATTGGTGGACATAGTTCATTGCAAGGTGCCATTCATATTCCTACTGTTAGGTAAGAATTCTGAAAAATTACTTGAGGGTTCTATTTTTTACCACTAGACACTAATGGCAACCCCTTGAAGAAATCATGTGTCTGGATTAATCTAGCCTTAGAGTGTTCAGAAGTAATGGTGTGAAATGTAATCTTTCCTTTTTTTTTAATCAAAGCTATTTTATATATCAAATATTTTTATAGTAGCCATTTGCATTTTGGAATTAAGATCACTCTCATTTTCATCCATGTGCTTATCTAAAATCCACATTGTAGAAGAGTATGCACATATGATACATTTCTTTTGTGCTCATGGATTTTTTTAAACTTAAAATAACTATGATAAGATTCTTGAATTTATTCATTTATTCTGTTCTCCAGATACTGTACTCTGTTTATGTGGGTTTGTATGTGTGTGTGTTTGGGAAGATAAATTATTTTTCCTCAATCCTTTTTCATGCTTTAATATCAAATAAAAAGTGAAGATCAATGTATGGGGTTAAAAATATTCCTTCTAATTAATTAAACCAGGAGTATGGGATTCAGATCTCTTTCTATAACCAAGAACAGAAGTCAATGGAAGACTCTGAAATTTGTATTTTCACCACGAAATCCTGAGTCATGTACGGAAATACACCAACTGCATGGATTATATGTATGCATAATTTCAAAATTTAACTACTCATACACATTTTCAAAAACTAATTTATAATTTGCTATTTAGGAAAATCTCATTTCCCTCTTTAGTTGTAACTCCTTGTGTCAATGAAAAACTTTTCCAATATTTTAAAAAGCAAAAACAAACTCCTAAGTAAATTCATAAACCCAATTCAGAGATGTGATTCTTCTTAAATATTAGTTTCTCTTTCTGAAGGAGTATTCTGTGCTTTTGGAGCTTTGACAATAACTTCATCAAGTTTGGGTTTGCTCAAGGGTTCAGATTCTCTGGATTCATGTGATTGTGCATCTTTATTCCTTGCTTCTTCCTTCTTCCTTTCCTTTGCGAGCAGTCTATAGTTTATAGCATTGCCAATGAGCAGCCATATGCTTGCTACTACCACAATAGCCCCACAGGACATATACATGTATTCATATTTTCCAGTTACATCCACCAATTTACCTAAGAGACAAAGAACATCTTTTAGGATGGCATAATAAAACAGTTACAAAAACAATGAACTCTTCCCCAGACAAAAATGCATGCTTCTTATTTAAATTAATGTCAAATTAGACTTTAAAACAAAAAATATTCTAGATCAGGACTTCTATATATGTTTAGTAAAGATATATACAGGGATTTACATTATATTCCCAGTACATTAAAGTTATTGCAAATTATTTCCCCCAATAAAAATGTTCAACCAAGACAAGTTTGAGTGTTCAGAAATACACATAAGTGTGAGGTATGTTTTTGTACCTATACATATACAATGAAGTATATGTATCTATTCACAGCATACTTGTTTAGATTGCTTCATCTTCCTATGCTTTCTTTTCTCTTCAATAAAGAGGAAAAAATTACATTTTCAGAGAACCAAAGGCTCTTACATGATTCCTGAAAGTACTAAATGTTGCTCTATTCCGCACCGGTTGAGTACTTTATATGTAATAACTCCTTTGATCCTTACAATCACTGTGAAGTAATCTGACCGTGGTTACACAGCCAGTGCACGGCAGAACGAGGCCTCTGACTGAAGTCCACCTGAGTCTCATATTCTTGACTACTTTGTAAAATGGCTTCATCCAACCTCTTTGTTAAGTGCTGTACCACTTTCAGGGCTAAATGCTTTTTTTTTTTTTTAACTTTTTCTGAGTGATAGCATCAGGCCAAACTGATCAGGAAGAACCATTGTTCACTTTATTAGTAAGACCATTTGAAAACTAGCCTGGTGTTCCTTTTCAGCTTATATTTAGTTTTGATTCTTGCTCATCTAAGTATTCAATTCTTTTTTTTTCCTTAAATTCTTTTATTGGTGCATTTTAGGTATACAATAATTTACATTTATCATTGGGTATTTGTACCTATACATGACATATCTTGGTTCTTATTTTTTCCCCATTCCTTGTCCTCCCTTCACCCCCTCCACCCTTCCCTATTTACAAAGACATTCAATTCTTAATAATTATTAACAGCAGAATTTACTCTTTACAAATCTATGTTACTTATCATATACATTCCAAGAGATTTGGATGTAGACCTTTGATGTAGACCTGTCTGTTTAGTGAGCATTCTAACTGGAACCTATTCAGTAGCTACTTGCAGTATTTATCTATTTGAATAAAATTCTGTCTTGAGTAGAAGATAGAATGAGCTTGAGTAAGCATATCATATACATAAACATAACAAAAATGCACATTTTTGATTTTCCTTCAAAACTTTAGTCAAATATTTATAGTCATACAGTCGTTGGTTGTTACATTTAAAAACACAAAAACCTAATGTCAATGACCCTCTCAGTTAAATATCACTTTGGGCTGAACTCTCAGCATATTTTCTAAATGTTCTGGAAATTTTTTAACATCAGCACATCAGATATGCTTTCTAGAAATAAAGCTTCAGTTTTTATGACTGCATCGTGAAAGATCAGTCTTAAAAATAAATAAATAAAAACCACACTCTCTCCACCTTTCACTGCCCTACTAATGGGATTAGTATTAAAAATGGCAAGCATGTAAGAAGTAATCACAGCAACATAAAAAAATATTTACTGAGTACCTACTGTGTGCTAGACACAATTTCATCAATGATTAAACAAAGAGAAGAAGCCAAAGAGAAGAAGTCTGACTCAAAGTCAAGGAATATCTGGAGTAATCAGGTGATAGAAGTACCATGAAGAAAACTTATCTCATGGCTACACTCTCAGTTTCAACAATGGGTCTGCTATCGATTACCACCACTGGTACTAGGGACATGGTAGTCTGGTAGTACACACAATGGGCACTGTTATTGAAATTATTTTAAAAATATATTACTGATGCAGGGTCTCATCACAAGTAGGAGTGGACAAGTCAGATTAATCTTTCTGACTTGACATGATACTTTTTTCATCTCAACAAGTGTGGTTATATAATTTTTCTCTGCTGACAGTTATAATTTAGTTGTTAATATACAGTCTCTAAATCTCATTTGGTCACATTAATTCTAAATGGAAAGATAGGACAATTGTGCTCTCATATAACAAAATCAACTCGTTGATCAATTTTAAAAAACCTAATGGCTTTCTCTGTATTTTGACAATTGATTTGTTACACTGTATATCTGTATTGAGAGACATACCACCTACAAGCCAACAACTACATCACTAAGGTCTTACAAACAGCTTTCATGCATTTTTTTTTTCTTCCAGTACTGGGGATCAAACTCAGGACCTTGCACTTGCAAGGCAGGCACAGCACCATTGAACTAAATCCCCGGACCCTTTCATGCATTCTCAACCAAGTGGAAAAGTGAATGCTGAGGTCAGTGACAGCATTAAGATTAACAAATTAGGGCCAGGGATTTAGCTCAGTGGTTCTGGCACCTGCCTCACAAGCGCAAGGTCCTGAGTTTGATCCCTGGTACTAAAAAAAAAAGATTAACAAATTAAACATAAATTTTCCCACTTTCAAAATGGTTTCTTGTTATCCTATAGTCAGATTGACAGCTGACTAAATGCATACAAAATTTTATACTTAGCTTTAGCTGAGCACTAGAAGGCAGGCCAAGAATCTAAGTGAATAAAATTCAGTATTGGTCAAATAATATATAATGGTTACTGGAAAAGATTGGTCCACACAAAAAAATTTAATATGTGTATCATTTCAACCTATGACTAAACAGAGCCTCAATTTCAAAAACAGACTTACATGTGTGTTTAAATCACAGACATATTATTTTCTCTCAAAAGTACTCATAACTATATTTGTTTTTTTGTTTTTTTTTTTTTGGTACCAGAGATCGAACTCGGGTCCTTGCGTTTGTGAGGCAGGCAGCGGAACCACTGAGCTAAATCCCAGTCCCCTCATAACTATATTTCAAAAGGAGCCATAAAATAATTCTAAGAAAGTCCACAAAAAATACAGTGCTTCTGTGGTAAATTCTTTTTCTTTTTCTCTCCATTTTTTAAAACTCAGACCAGTTTCCCAATTTTTTTGGTGGCACCTTAAACATGTTCTTACTTTCCTTACTGGTTAATTTAAGACAGACACTTCTATAGGTATCTTTGGAAATATTTCAGATCTTAAAATCTAAAGGGACTCTTTAAGGGAATCTTTATGGAATATAAGTTATATGCTCAACAATAAAACAACTGTGGGCGAATTTTCCTTTACCCTTGCATTCTGTATTAGTGATACAGAAATATGCCTCCCTTACCTGAATAATAAATTCAAAATTAATATGACTAATGTACTATAGAAAAAAATCTGATTCTGACCTTTTGAGGACATTATGGCATTTTTATGTAAGCAGAACAGAAGCCTGTTCAGCAATGATAAAGTTGTGTTTTTTAGTTTTGTGGTAGCATTCTTAAAAGCACAAAACAACTAATATGATTAAAAATCCCGAAACTTATGTTCTCATTAACAACCTAAGTTTTTAAATTCATAGGTCTGGCTTTGAAACAAATTTGGGTCTAAAGTGAACTTTTTATGAAACTGTAAAATACACAGTAAGACTTAAATTAATATCTCCACTGTCTCTCAGGCAATTAGCATTAATCAAATCACATTATTTACTGTAAAGAAAGTCTCAGTTAATGGTTATTTATATTATGTTCTTTGCTTTTTTTGGTGAGAAATATTCTTACCGGCAAGAGGAGGGCCAAGAAGAACTGGGCCACACTCCACAATTGTGACAAGGCCCACAGCACTGGAGAACCTCTGAGCACCAACAAGGTCCATGAGGGTTTCAAAGAGGACGCTGCTAACACTGCCAAACCCAAAGCCAAAAAATGCAGCATATATCACCAGGCTTGTGTAATCCTTGGCCAGAGGGCATAAAAGATGGCACACTCCAGTGAACAAGATTGCAGAGCTGAAGAAGTACTGGATTCGTGGTCGGATAAGTTTGGAGTTTGCAATTAATCCTACACTTGGCCTAGCAAACATATCAACAAAAGCCATTACAGACAGCAAGAAAGCTGCAGAATACTCATCTATTCCCTGGTCTTTAGCATATGGAGCCAAGAATATAACAGGGGCAAAAAAACCTAGAAACATAATGACATTTCCAGAGAGGTAGATCAGAAATCCTCTATGCTTAAAAAGGGAGAAATCTAAATATTGATTAATTTTTTGTGCTATTGATTTCTTATGGATTTTCTTTGAACCCGAACTTTCCTCTCTTATGCCAACCTTAGTTTTAGAGTGAGAAGTAATTTGTTTGGGTCCAAGGGGCCTCATGAGGGCCCCAGCCACACAGGCATTCAAAAATATAGCTCCTAAAATCAAAAAGCTTCCCTTCCAGCCGTAAGTATTAAAAAGAAACTGATTGAAAGGGGCCAATGTACTTAGGAAAACAGGACTTCCTGCCATGGCCAATCCATTTGCCATGGGTCGTTTCCTATAGAAGTATTTGCCAATTATTGTTAAGGCTGGTTGCAGGTTGAAGGCTAAACCTAAACCTAAAAGAACAAGACAAAAGGGAAAAAGAAAACATGAACACATTATGCCATTTACAATAGAAATTACTCTCAAAATGTACATTTAAGTGGACAAGCCAGAACCAAAAATGCAACAGTAGGGAGCAGTTTTTGAGAATTGCAAATATAAATGTAATTGTAAAAAGCTAAAACGTTTTTCACAACTGTACACTTCATATGATTGTTTCATATTCCTTTCAATTAAACACAAAAATAAAGCCAGAACTTTTACTGATGTCTGGAAAATCACAGGATAGGTTTTAATGACAAAACTATTAATTCTTAATTAAAATCATTCAATTCCATAAATAATCTCTTACATATGTATTTATATGTGAATACATAGAATAGATTTCTTCCTTGTAAACAAGAGTAAAATTTAAAAATGAGAAATTTCTTTTCAGAGGTAAAGAAACATGAACAGAGTAACTGTAATACTCTTACATCTCTTCAAAGATATTTTTAAATGCCATGCAAATAATAAAATAATTTCATGCCATTATATTTCATACTTTTACATCACTCATATTCCACATTTAATGTATATAGATGCACATATGTACTAACTAAAAATTCTTTTGCTTGAAGTATATTTTTATTTCTGGGATTAAACCTGATTATTTACATGGACCAAAGTTCGCACCATCTACAAAACTCCTTGGCAGTGTTGAGTACTACCTTTGAGAAGTGAATTTCCTTTTGTCATTCACCAAGGCACTGTTTAGCAATAGTAATGACTAAAGTACTTTTTAAAAGATAAAACTACCTCTCTTTTCTGCCTTTAGGAATTACCCTATGTTAGATCAGGTGTTAGAGAAGTAAGAATTATGTTTATTAATTTACCTAAATTGAAACAGTACTGCAAAATTGTTAAGTATTCAAGTTCTAGGACATATACATCTAACTATAAATACTTAATCCAATCCTGTAATATAAACATTTTGAGTTAGTAGAAGGGTGTTTAAAAGCTGACAAAGGACCAAGAACAAGCTTTGGAGACTAACAGGACAGCATGATAGCTAATGCTACCTTGCCATACCTATGAGAAATGCAGAGTAAGTGTAATTGGACACAACTTATAAATAATGAAACTGACCAGCCTAAGGTCAAGTAACTTGTAAGCAGAAAAATCTACATTAAAATCCAAGTAATGTGTTTCTAATTTTCTTAAGCTATGTCATCTCCCCATTCCCTGCCAATTCTGAAGCTTTTGTCTTCAGATGTTAACTTGCTTTTGTTAAGACATAGTTGACATTTATTTCTCATTCTAGCTTAGTAAAATGAATATAAAACTTGAAACCAACAGATTTGAATCTTCCCTATCTACTTGCCTGCTCTGTAGGACTGGGCATAACACTAAAGATTTTCTGAGGTCCAATTCACTCAACAACATAAAAAAGGGTCTTACCAAAATCAAGTAAGTTCTACAACTGATGTTATAAAAATGACACTATAATTATTATGATTTTCTAATATTTAGTTATAAAAAAAGGCTGGATACTGTGCAAACTACTATATAGTCATTTTGTATATTAATCATTTAGCATCTCCCAAAGAAAATAACTATAGACAAGGAGACTGAAGCACATGAAGACTAATTTACCCCTGAACATACAGAGAGTATATGCTGAATCAGTTTTAAAAGCTATATATGTCTTTCAGAAACCAAAGCCAGAAACCAAGTTGGCTGATAATCACTTCAGGTAAATTTCTCCTAATCATGTATAGCAGCTGACTCTAGAAGCATGGAAGATTTCAAGACCCAAAAGAATGAAATTTTAAGTTAGACTAACAATAAAGCTATTGTAATTGCTGGTACAGGAATATCACAAATCATCTTCTATTTACTACATCTATTTGTAAACCCATCCTGACTTTGATTATCAAATGGAATATAGTCAGTATGTCTGCACAAAGGACATTCTCTATGACAATGCTTAGATATAAGAAAGTTTCCATTTAATATATTCAAAAAATTACATATTAAAAGTTCAGAGAAATGTGCACAAGTTGCAGAGAAAGATTTTAACATCACTATTACTATATCCTTTAATATAGCTGTTTTATCTCATCAAATAGTACACGAATGTAAAGTTAGACTGATCTCAAATCACTATAAAAAAGAAATATATTTACTTTTTATCTGTGAACATAAGGGAAACAAACATTCAGTGATTACACTAATTTTTCATAAAATTTTGAATGGATTTTTAAAATGAAATCTATTGTTTGGGCAAAAATTAGAGCTTTCCAATTGTACAATTTCAGGTCAGTTTGAGTCAATAGGTATCCTATATGAGACACAATGGTAATGAACTAGCAGTATGTCATTTTAAATGTTTGTGCTAGTTGCAAAGTGCCTCATCAAGTTTTTAAATAAGATCACTGAGGAATAGGGCAAAGGACCTCTACCATCAATCAGAACACAGGCAACAATAGTCTTATCACTTAAGATAAATCTAGACTATAAATATTTGACACTGTTTTTAACATAGTACCAGTGGAAGCTCAGATATCCTAAAAAGGAATAAAGAACAAAAAATAGGAAAAAAGGAAGTTATTTATTTATACCAGAAAGTCTTTGTTTACAATAGCATATCACCTGGTTAAGGAATAAAAAATGAGGAAGTAAAAACAAATAAAAGCTACTGTCTTTTTAATATTTATATAGCAATACATAACTTGGTAAGATTTTTCATTTCTTGAAGTGAAATGTTTGGTCATTCCATAGCTGGTATTTAAATGCACTGAGTAATAATACTTTACAATAGCACTGCATTTAAAAGTACATTCAAAGAAAATAAGAAGTTTTTATTCATCCTTTTCATAGAGTTTTGCAAAAAAATAGAAGTATTAGAAAAATAAACTGTAAACAAAACTTGGCTTACCTCCAATGAAGCCCACAGTGACGTAAAGTTGCACCACGCTGTTGCTGAAAGATGCCAAAACCATTCCCAAACAGCATAGTAAGCCTCCTACTATTACCACTGGCCGGCTGCCATATTTATTTACCAATATACTACTGATGGGACCTGAAGTAGACAGGAGAGTAAGAAATATTCAGTTGATGGGTTCATTTATTTATCCTTAATATTTATTAATGTTGAAAGCTGAGAAAGTATATTTTAATTATTAAGGGAAACATTAGTTCAGATGTAGAATAATGACTTTTTTCAATATTTCACAGATAATCAGTTTGATGGATGCATATTTTTAAGGATGAGATCTCCCTATGTTGTGTATGCTGGCCTTAAATTTCTGGGCATAGGCCATCTCCTGCCTCAGCTTCCAAAGTAGCTAGGATTTTAGACATGTGTCACTACTTCCGGTTGACAGGCTATCTTTTAAAATTCTAGTTTACTAGTACATGTGTTTAATACATAAGGTTCACATCCCTATTTTAAAAAATATACAGGTACTGTATGAGAAGGCACATAAAATAATAAATTACAAATATTTAAGCTAGAGATCCTTATGACTAATCATTTGAAGTCTAGTGGAAAATTTTTAATAGAGCATAGCTAAAATGTCTAAAATGCCAATAAAATTTCTGTAACAAAAACTAGAGCTTTCTCAAACTACCTGTTTGTTACAATTGTACAAAATTTCATTTTCAAGGATAATGTGTATGTGTATATATACATACATGCCATTAACTAATGTTCAAATTATATTTTATTATCTGAGTCTTTGATTATTCTTTAATACATTATTTCACTCATTTTAAGACACTGTTTTCACATCATATTATTTTAGCTATTATTATTACTAAATAGCTAAATGTTTCACCCTTGGATGTTTTACACTTGGTGGCTTCTTCCAATACGTTTACGTGGGAGTGACAGGTAATAATGTAGCTACCATAGCCTAAACATGTTTGAATTTATTTCCTGTGACTTGTGTCAACCATACTTAATGCCCCACATCTCAGTCAATAACCTTAAGGAGTATTTGAAAAAGGAATACAAAAATTAATCTCGATTTTTGCTCAAGAGATCTGTTGATAAATTCTGATAAGGTGAAGATAACAACATTAAAACTTACAGAACGAATACAGCAGTTTAGATGAAAGAGGCAGAGAAAATGGCAGCTCTGTTATAGTATGTTGCCTCACTAGCAAAGAGAACAATCTTATTCAGTGGGCATTGAGTCAGATAATGAATGGGAAGAAGTTTTAGGAATGTGTTTTCCAATTTATTTAATGTATATTTTCCAATATGTGTATGTATATATGTGTGTGTGTATGCAGTATAAAATATTCAACAATGATTAAAATAATTAAATTCTGCATTTAAGTCAACAAACGCTTTTAGTATTTATAAAATGAAATTCTAAATATTGAGAAATTGTGTCTTTAGTAGATATTATGTTTTTCTTTTTTTTTGTCCTGATGAATCATAAAATAACAGTGCAACTTAATATTTAAGGTGGTCTTAGATTCAGTGGAAGTCTATATGATTTTATGGGACCTGTCAATATATAAATGGCTAGCTTTGACTTTTTCTTTTAAGTTAAAATTATATTTCAACTGAATCTAGGGACATTGCTTTAAGGAACAAACTATTACAACAGTTAAGAAGTCTCTAAATTTAGCCTATGGAAAAACTTATTTTTAAGTCAATACTATACCTTAAAAATCTACTAAGTTTGGTTATATCACATTTAAGAATTTGTGTGGATATTATTTTGAACATTTTAAGATTAATTTACTGATATACTCACACACTTCCAAGAGAATATACTTGTGATGCCTTGCATCTAGATGTACTTACTCCTAAAGCCTCATGTTCTCATAGGTGGGGAGTTTTGAAAGTGGCTGGGTTAGGGTGTGTGAATGTGAATTAAAGTCGTGATACTCAGATTAAAACTGTAATGCCAGGATTAAGGATGCCCCACCTTTGGTATGTGTGGCACCAATCAACAGGTCTGTAGACTGGATGGTACATAAAGGGACAGAAAGAAGGCAGGCTTTCTCCTGCTTGCTGTTGTTGCCTTCTGCCTGTCTGCCATGCCACCCTGCCTTGGAGCCAGCTGACTATGAAACCTCTACAAATTGCGAAGTGAAATAAACCTTTCCTCTTTTAACTTGTGGGTATTGGTTATTTTGTCTCAGCAATGATAAAAGTTACCAAGACAATACTTTTAATTTTTACTGCTTAAGTGTAATTTTGAAAGTAAGCAACACTGACTAATAGCATTCAATATTTACAAAAATCTTTCAAAAAGACATTATTAATAATAATCTTGTTCTTTTTAAAAAATTGGTGTATGTTTTCAAAACACAACAGTGGTGTCAGAGTTGCTGAAATGGTAAATGCTTATAACACATCTTAATTATTTCAATCTCTTTGTCTCCTCCCACTTAACCCGCTTCAAGAGTCTGCCTTCTTGGTCCCTACTAACAATTCTTTATTTTACATATTCATTTGTATTTTAGGGTTCTCATATACAAAAAACCATGCAATATTTAACTTTTTGATAACACTTAATTCTAGAAAAATGTAACTTAATACAAAATTTTGTTTTTATAATAGGAGACAAACTAAAACACAAGAAAGAAATTTCTACAAAAGCAGCAGAGCTTGGGGGGTTGTTTGAGGAATAATGTACAAGATAAGTGAAAAAATAGTCATGTTCCTAACAGGGTTAGCTCTCTCGAAAAGATGATGGAAAGAAATATTATACATATATAGCAAATAAAGTATATATGCATAAGGAAGTGATCATCTTCATTAAAAATAGCTCTTATGAGAAAGGAAGAGTTAAGAAAAAATTCATTGGCTTTGATTAATTATTAAACTTAGGTATGGACATTTCATAGTATTCCATCCTTGTTGCCTTTCTCAAAATTATTTAACCAATTCAATTCAATTTAAGTGAAATTTGTTCAATACAATATTTAAGCTCCTAGTACAAAGCCAGTGACTAACCCCCAAAACAAAACAATGAATAAAACACAACTATAATCCTTAATGGATTATAGTCTAGAGGAAGAGATAATTAATGTGATTTTAAAAATTATGATGGATGTCATGATAAATATTAGACTCTTAAAATGGATTGAAAAGTATCAATTACTTGGACTATGATCTTTTCTCAGTATTAGTTATATTATGTATTTTATATGCAATTTATATATGTTTTATATAATTTCATATGTGGTGACTAACAAGTGAATGAGTTCATTATTTACTATATTATATAAACGCATTTGCCTAAATTGCACACATTTTTAAATTTGAACCCAGGCTATTAATCACTATTTGCTATATACGACAAATAACTATATCTGTACTTTGGCATAACTATATCAAGTCTTCTTTCTTCATTATTGTGATTAATTAGGGGTAGCTACCAAAATTTTAGAAATGAAGGATTTTTTTCTTTTATTGAGAAGGTGGTTTTTATAAATTTTATAGGGTTATTAGGCTGCAAAAGGAGTTCTAATTTAAACAAGCACTTTTATTGCAAATTATATAGTTAAATGATGACCTGTAAGGATTTATTTATATAAATCATCTATAATCTTTTCTTAACAAAACAACATATAAGAGATCTATTTAGGAATAAACAAAGTTTGTTCCCTGTTATGTTAAATGCTTATAATATATCTTAAAATATTTGTTTTGTAATACTTGTAAATAAAACTTTAAATTATGATATATAATAAAAGATAACTTTCTTTCAAATGATGTCTAAATACTTAATATTAGCTTGGGAAGATATTTAACTTTCAATGCAAAACACACCACTTTCAACACTTTATCTCACTAGTAGTTTGGGATGATTTGGAGGGACGGTTGTTTTTGTTTGTGTTTTTTTGCTCATTTTTGAAACTAGGTCTTCATAAATTGCCCAGGGAAGCCGTGAACTCATGATCCTCCCACTTTAGCCTTCCAAGTAGCTGAGATTACAGACATGGGATTATACAGCCAGTTGGATTACACAGGCAACAAGTCTAATATTTTAATAAGATGAAAATAATAAATTCCTATAAATGTGATTTTTGCTAAGCAAGCACTAGCCTCACAGGTGTTTCCTTTTGATGACCCTTATGCATAAATTATAATATGAGCTTATTCATTTATTTAATCATTTTGGAAGTTTTGACAACATACTTTTCAAGTAAGTGTGATGAGTTATGTCAATAATGGAAAACTCTACCTGAAGAGCAATATCTGAGCCCTTATTTAAATAGAGCAAGGGTAGTGTTTGTCAAAGTTTGATTGGTCTGCTTGTTAAGCACATCAAAAAATTCTTATTTTTATAAACATTCACAAAATATCAAAGTATATCTAAATCAGACTGATGTAGCTACTAATTCTTCTGATACATAATTCCAATCTATCTCAGAATTTTAGTGTTAAGAATAGTCACGTTCATGAAACTGTGAAAGATGGCGTCTTCAGAGAGTGATATGAGGACCACAGCACTGGCAGCACTGTATCTGCTATGTCTTTTCTGAAAAATAACCAACCCTTTTTTATAGTTGGAGCTCTTCAGCACTTAACAAAAGAATGCTTATTCTGGGCCGGGGATTTAGCTTAGTGGTTTCGCTGCCTGCTGCGCAAGAGCAATGACCTGAGTTCGATCCCTGGTACCCCCGCCACCCCCTAAATGCTTATTCTGGCAAGGAAGCTTTTGTGGGTTCTCGCAAGTTTCATGGAATATTTGCCCAATCTTAGAACTCTTGCTGTACTTACTGTCAGTAATTTAAAAAAATATTTTCTATTTATTCAATATGCGTTCTATTCTAAGATCTTTGAAGGTAGGTACCGTAAAATATTATTACTTATCAACACCTTTTTTATTACTATGCTATACATTGTGCCCAGAATCATATATTCATTGTTGCATATAATTTAAACTGCAGCCCTGTAACTAATTAAAATTATTTAACAGTTGATAAAAAGTGTTTCAATAACTTCTTGAATGGTGTATCAGTAATAAGGGATAAAATCTACATATGAGCCCAGGTTTGTGTAATTACAAAACTGTGCTTTTAGCCACTGTGCCGAAAAGATTTAGCATA